TCTAATTTATATCGCCTTTTTCATTCGGTAATTATTTTCGTTATAGTGATCAGCTATACATACAGTGTCTCCTTCAGCAATTACTTGTCCTGGTTGAACAACGACACCATTGCCTGTCCTACATCCAATCACCTTTGTGCTCCATGAGCCATCTGGATTGATCTTGCATTTCATCACAAATGTCGATCTCACTACCTAAATGGGCCGAATTGAACATTTTCTTGCTGCGCTTTGGTTATTGAGTGATATGATTTTTTTGTGATGAGTGCGACAAACAAGTTTTCTAGAAATCTTTGAAAGTTTTGCGATGATGGGCAACACTCCCTATAGCGGGAGAAAGGTCAACAGCGATCAGATAGCATAGTGATTCGAGCGTTTCCAATCAAATTTGCCTACCCAAGTATCGCCATCCTTGTACTTCTCATTCTTATAGACACATGCCGATGCGAGTGAACAGATTGCCAGTACCAAGATGTTCCTCATTTCTAAAATCTGCGACCGAAAATCAATGATAACATATGGCATCTATTGGTGAAAATAAAGATCGTATTCAATCCTTTTATTGTAATTAAAGATGCAGGTGATAAGAAAGAGATGCAACATGTGGAACAATCAGGTAATCTGGAATGATCAATTCATTAGAAATGTAATCTTACAAAAATACTCTACCAAGACTCTTCTTTCATAAGTAATCAAATCAAAGCATACCACTTGTAGCTTTCAATGAACCTCTCAGTTAAATGTTACGACAATCTTTGATCTGTGTAATGTGGTTTTGTGCACTTTTCATTCCATACTCTTATCGAAACAAGTTATTTTCGTTCAAAAATGAATATTTAGAAATATTGCAGAGGTATGAAGTGCATGGAGTGCATACTTTTACATCGAGGAGGCACCTACTTGCTTCAGGGTAAAGCAGTAAGGCTGCGTCCCCAGACTCCTAAGTTGTGCACTATTTCTATAAAGTCACACAATCATTTTCGTGTATAGATTGCTCGGCTACAGAGCGCAAATATGCGATAACACATGCGCGAAATGAGTTAAGCCTTCATCTAGTGAAAATTGGATAATAGTGGTTAATTGGATAATAATTGGATAATGGGTAGCAAAAACGGGGTAGTATGCAAATTCCTACCCTATGCAAACTGCAGCCAAAAATCGGCCAGCAATCGAATCAAAATTTATTATCTCATCCCATTTGCTATAAGACCCTATACAAATCTCCTTTCTGTTATGGCAGAACAGTGAGAAGCACTTAGATTGGCTTTCAGGTCAACGTTAGCCAAACTTCTATTGCTATTAATGAAGCTTATGAGTTCGCCATAGATAAAAGTGTGAATGAAGATATATAATCTAGAATTCAAAAGCTTCTTTTCCCAGCTTTGCTTCTTTGGATCTCACAAATTAGGCTGTTATTTTTTCAGAATGGGAAAATATTCTATTCCATTTTAAAAATAGTGCAAGAATGATTTTTCAAAGTGAGGGCTATAGTGTAACGGAAGCATCGTAGATTCATAATGTACTTATGGAGCTGAGCAAAGAAACGAGTTGGCATCTGAAAACTGCATATAAACTTCTATCAAGACACGTGGCGTAAGTCGCAGCTGCCATAAATCGAGTGCAAATGTTCATAGTCTGTGTAACTGGTTTTAGTAGGATAGCCAGGAATGGCGATTCAAGTTGTCCGCAGTGACGTAAAACTGCATTTATTTAATGATTTTACGCATATGATCTGAAGGCTGCGTAGAGGCATTTGTTTTCAGCGTTTTGCGGTTGATTATTCAAACGGGAATTTCTTGTGTTTAGAGTGCTTTTGCTGGCCGTCAAGCATTTTTTTATCTTTGATAGATTATCCACTGCAAGCCCGAGAGATTTAAAATAAAATTTAATACAAAAATTAACACCTTCTTTGATTTTTCCATTTTACGGAGGGTTAAAAGCCAATGTCTAAAGAGTTAACGTTGCTTACAGAGGAAATCATTAGTCACGATGCTCATGATATTTTTTTTTGATTTTCAAAGTGTAAGCAGAACCCTCATCCAA